ACTGATTAATGAGGATAATCCATCCAACCTTGAAAGTACTTAGTATTAGGATCATAGAATTCATTCATTCTTAAAATATTTCAACTGGAAGCTGATCTTGTTTGAACTGCCTACCTTCTTGGCAAACATTTCTGAGTATCTTGTGCTTTGAAAGTAAAATATTCCTGACCTCATTAAGAACAATTAAGATTGTTCTACCTGCAATACAACTAACTTCCTGAACGGGATGGGTAATTTGTACTGTTAAACAGCTAATTAATTGTAACTACGAATTAAATAGCTTTTTGAAATTATGAAAAGCTGACTGGGTGAGAAAGGAGAGAGAAGACAAGGCCACTGCATCTCACACACATTTTAGTTAGAACCTTCCTGAAATACTTCTTGCAGCTTGTATTCAACTATTTATAGATCTTCTCCCCCAAATTTACTATCTGCTCCAGGATGGCAGGGACGCTTCTTTCATCCAAACATTGTGTTTCCCCCAAAATCCAGCACAGGGCTATGTACACAGTGGGCATTTAATCAATATTTGTTCAAATGAAGATGTGAAATGCCAGGCTTCTGATCTTGGTCTTAACATGACCATAAGGATATAATGAAAATATTACTTAATTCTTATTACCAATAGGCAGATAGAAAAGTGACTAAAGAATAACTCCTAACAGAAATAATAACTGTCAAATTTGAGGTAGTTACATGGGTGCTGCGAGGAAATTGTTGGGTTTTCTTTATAAATTATTATTTTACTTTAAGTACAATTTAACCCATGAAATAAAGCAACAAATTAAATATGAACATGATTTAATTTACAAAAACAAAATTTCTTTATAAGGATGCCTTTGTTTTTGTTTTCAGGAACATATCTGTCATGAAAATATATTGGCAACTTGATTTTGAAATTTGACATTATTTTTCAAGTGTTTCTCACATGATAATAGATTTATAGAAATTTTTTTTTCTCATATAAGCCTAACAAAAGACAGCATCTACATCCCTTCTTTTCTGCAAAGGTCAAAACAAAATGCCAACTTCTATAAGCTTCCAATGTTTCTATTGTATTCAGCTGCAATATTTAATGTTCCATTTGTACTAGCTTCCAAATGTCCAATTAAAAGGAGAGTTTATTCCCCAACTAATATATGGTCAAAGGATATGAACAGGTAGTTTTCAGAGGAAGAAATTAAAGCTATCTAAAGTCATATGAAAAAATTCTCTAAGTCACTATTGATTAGAGAAATGCAAATCAAAGCAGCTCTGAGGTACCACATCACACCTATCAGATTGGCTAACATGATAAAACAGGAAAATGATAAATGTTGGAGATGTGGGAAAATTGGAACACTAATGCATTGTTGGTGGAGTTGTGAACTGATCCAACCGTTCTGGAGAGCAATTTGGAACTATGCTCAACGGGCTATAAAACTATGCACACTCTTTGACCCAGCAATACCACTTCTATGTCTGTATCCCAAAGAGATCATAAAAACGGGAAAAGGACCCACATGTACAAAAATATTTATAGCAGCTCTTTTTTTTGGTGGCAAAGAATTGGAAATTGAGGGGATGCCCATCAGTTGAGAAATGACTGAACAAGTTGTGGTATATGAATGTGATGGAATATCATTGTGCTGTAAGAAATGATGAGGTGGACTTCAAAAAAGCCTGGAAGGACTTAACAGAACTGATGCAGAGTGAAATGAGCAGAACCAGGTGAACATTGTACACATTAACGACATATTATGCGATGACTGACTTTGATAGACTTAGCTCTTCTCAGAAATGCAAGGACGTAAAAAACTCCAAAAGACTCATGATGGAAAATGCTATCCATATCCAGAGAAAGAACTTAGGAGTTTGAATGCAGATAGAAGCATACTATTTGCTCTCTTTTCTTTTGATGTTTTGTTTTGTTTCTTCTTTCTTGGGGTTCCTCCCATTAGTTCTAATTCTTCTTTACATCATGACTAATGTGAAAATATGTTTAATATGAATGTATAAGTAGAGCCTTTTCATCCTTCTCTTCAGTCTTATATTTCTAAGTCAAATTTTCTATTCAGCTGTGGTCTTTTCATCAAGAAAGCTTGGAAGTCCTCTATTTAATTGAATGTCCATTTTTGCCCCTGAAGGATTATACTCAGTTTTGCTGGTGATTCTTGGTTTTAATCCTAGCTCCTCTGACCTCTGGAATATCATATTCTAAGCCCTCTGATCTCTTAATGTAGATGCTGTTAAATCTTGTGTTATCCTCATTGTGTTTCCACAATACTTGAATTGTTTCTTTCTGGCTGCTTGCAATATTTTCTCCTTGATCCAGGAACTCTGGAATTTGGCTATAATATTCCTAGGAGTTTTCCTTTGGGGATATCTTTCAGGAGGTGATTCGTGGATTCTTTCAATTTATAGTTTACCCTCTGATTCTAGAATATCAGGACAGTATTCGTTGATAATTTCTTGAAAGATGACATCTAGACTCTTTTTGATCATGGCTTTCAGACAGTCCAATAATTTTTAAATTCTGTCTCCTGGATCTATTTTCCAGGTCAGCTGTTTTTCCAGTGAGCTATTTCACACTGTTTTCTGTTTTTTCATTCTTTTGGTTTTGTCTTATAATTTCTTGATTTCTCACGGAGTAATTAGCTTCCATTTACTCCATTCTAACTTTTAAGGAATTATTTTCTTCAGTGAGCTTTTGGACTTCCTTTTCCATTTGGCCAATTCTGCTTTTTAAGACATTCTTCTCATTGGCTTTTTGGACCTCTTTTGCCATTTGGGTTAGGCTATTTTTAAAGATATTATTTTCTTCAGTATTTTTGGGGGTATTTTACCAAGCTGTTGACTATTTTTCATGATTTTCTTACAGCACTCTCATTTCTCTTCCCAATTTTTCCTCTATTTCTCTTACTTGTTTTTCAAAATCCTTTTTGAGCCTTTCCATGACTTGAGACCAATTCATATTTTTCCTAGAGGTGTTGGATGTAGGAGCTTTGACTTTGTTGTCTTCTTCTGGTTGTACGTTTTGATCTTCATTGTCACCAAAGTAAGATTCTACAAGTTGAGTTTTTTCCACTGTCTGCTCATGTTCCCAGCCAATTACTTGACTTTTTTAACTCTTTGTTGAGGTAGGGCTCTGCTTCCAGTGTGGAGGGTGTACTGTCCCAAGCTTTAGGAGTTTTGTGCAGGTGTTTTCAGAGATACTTCTAGGAACCTGTAAATTTTCAGTTCTTCTAGGGTGGGATGATCAAAGGAGAGATGTTTATTCCTTTCCTGGTCCATGCTCTGGTCTGTGAGTGACCAGAAGCACTCTTTTCTGCCTTGGAACTGTGAGGATTGCCTCTTCACCACCGACACAAGCTCCACCATGCCAGTGCTCTTCCTTGCCCCAGGACCGCCACCCAGGACTGCAATTCAGATCCAAGCATGGGCAAAGCAAGAGAATCCTGCCTCACACCAGTTAAGACATCCTTGCAATGCCCCTCTGATCAGCCAATCCATTTCTCCACCAACTGGGAAACAACTGCTGAAGTGGCCCTCTGGGGCTGCGCTAGGGCCAGGGCTGGATTGTGCTCCTCTCTCACCTAGGTCTGATAGACCTTTCCCACTGACCTTCTAAGTTGTCTTTGGCATTTGTGGTTTGAGAAGTCTGGAAACTGCCACAGATGCCCGTGATTCAGTCCCCTAAGGCCAGCTCTGGGTTTGCTGGGGCCCCATCTTTGCCTGCACAGCCCATACTGACCTGTGCTCCTCTCCCACCCTGGTGCAACAGACCTTTCCTATCAACCATCCAGGTTGTCTTGGGCTGGAAATTTGTTTCATTCTGTCTCTTTGTGGATTCTGCTGCTCTAGAATTTGTTTAGAGTCATTTTTTACAGGCATTTGGAGGGGGTTGGGGGAGAGCTCAAGCAAGTCACTGCTTTTACTCTGCCATCTTGGCTCCTGAGAAAATTGTTGTCTAATAAAAATTTATCTGGCCCATGAACAGTTTTATTATTTAGCTGTTTAACTAGTACTTACATGTTTATTATTAATAAAATATTAGAGCATGCTTTCCCCCCAAAACAGTGATTTCAATGATGTAGGGAATTCCCTCTACAACTCTCAGTCCAGACTGGCAATTGCTTTGCAATGTGAATCTTACAAAACTGATAAAAGAACTGAGAAGTTTGTGAAAATGGTATGTGCCAGAGGACTTAAAATCCAAGTAGTTCTGACTCTGAAGTTAGCTCTCTATTCATTCCCCTACTCCCACACTGCTTCTCATAATGGTTTCATATAGATCTAGATCTATATAAGTATAGATATATAGTTTTATACAGCTATAATAGTTCCATATGGTTTTATATATATGGTTGTATATATCATAATGGTTATATTATACACACACATCTAAGTGCTACTCAAAATCAAATGAGGATGGCTAACACTTTCATTTAATTAAAAATTACACTGCAATCACATAGTAATTTTAAAATTACATGTTAAATCAGAGAACAGAGAAGAGAAATATAAAATTAAGTTCAGCTAGAACAATTTCAGGGTTAATTCCCTTTAGAAAAAGAAACAATGAATCCATAAAAGTGAGATTGGATAGAAATTGTATCATTCCACAACCATTTTCTAGTTATTTACTAGGTTAGTAACGAAAACAAAATCTGCAAGTTTCAGTGGGCTGAAAGACAAATCTGGCACTGTAGTAAATGGGCTCACTCTTTTAGTCACCACTTGGAATAGAAACTGTCCCCTGATTTGATTTTTTTACTTTTGTCAATAGGCCATTATCAGCTGTAACATTGCCAATGTGGCTGACTTTGAGACAGATTGCATTTCTTTGGCTCAGAAAAGAACTGACTGTTGTGTCTTGACAACGGTTGTGGGGAAAACTAGTAACTGCAGATATAAGGGGTACTCATGGTTCAGTGAAGGAAAGAGAGAAAGGCATAAGGAGGAGGAGAGTAGTGAAAATTGTAAAGAAATATGGGAAATCAGTCACTAAAAAAACCCACCTCTAAGGTCTGCATCAGAGTTGGCTTAATTGCATCCTTCATCAAAACAGCCAAAGCTCCAGTCACTCCCTAAAAGAAATTACACGTACATCAAATTATGATGCTTATTTTACTGCAATCAGATATAAGCATTAGGCCCTCCAACCTCACTTGAAAGTGTGTAAGGAGATACACGTCTGAAGTAAAATTCTGATTATTTATCTAAAGTCAGCCAGCAAGCCCTATGGCCACTTTCCCCTGCTATGCTTCGTAGGTGGGATTTGCACAAATAACTTATTTGCTAACTTAATCACTCATTCAACCCATCATTCCCCTCTTGGCCCAGTTCCTGGTTCCCAGACTTCCAAACTATGCTTTTTCATCCGGAAAACTTCCCTTGGTGCCTTGGGCCTGAAATATCTAATCACCCTTGAAGCCTTCTATCAAACTGGAACATCCCTTACTAAGGCACACCCCCTCTCTTTCTCCCATTGGCAAGTTCTTTTGGGAGCCTCCATTTCGTAGAAGGGTGCAGGCCAGCCTTCATTCCCTTCCTGTTCCTTCTTCAAGACTATTCTTCCATGCTGGGCAGTATCATTTCACTCCAGCTTTTCAACTCCTTTTTGGATATTGTGTCTTTTCCCATTAGAATGTGAACTCTTTGAGGACAGGAACTATTTTCTTTCTTAGTTTTTTTGCATGTATTTTTTTATCCCATGTATTATATTTGTATTAGCACAGTGCCTTTGACCCAGAAGAGCTTAAGTGCATGTTTCCTTCCTTAGACAACTGTTAAATGCTACTATGACAGAGATACAACAATAATTAGTACACAGTCTGAAACTTCTTTGGAGCTTAAAAATCCAGCAAAGAAAACATAATATACACAAAATACAGAGATTAGACCTATGATTTATTAGTGTAGGAAATTCCCAGGTGAGAAACCTCTCTTTACCAATGCAAGTCGGCCTTTTTTCTGCAACTCAGAGTGTGAGAGTTGCCTAGGACACTGACTTGGACAGGGTCACACAGCCACTACGTATCAGAGGCAAGATTTGAATAAAGGTCTACCTGTCTTTGGGATCAGCTCTCTATCCACTAAACCTCTCTATAGATTACATATACATTACATATTAATTGCACTGCAGAATAGTATACATCAAGAGCATCAAAGAGTGACAACGTACTATAGAGGGTTAGAAAGAGAAAAGATCAGATCTCCCTTTGGTGCAGTGGAGGGTGGTGGTAGTAGTGAGGAAATACCCAAAGCCTTCATGGAGAGGTCAAATGGACCTTGAAGGATGAGCAAGATTTCAAAAGGGGCAGGCAGTCTATATAGAGGGTGTAGACAGGAGGAAAAGCACTGGATACCTACAAGAAATGGTAAGTACTGTGCATGGCTTTGGATTTACGAAAAACCCTTCCAAAAACAGGGCTTCTCATAATGTATATCATGCCAAAGAAATTGACTACCCCCAACCATTGCCAGGCCTCCTCATTGGTTGGCCTTAGGCACTGAAGTGTGTAGAACAGGATGTTTCAGGCATATTTTCTCTTCTGCCTCAACCATCAAGGTCTAGCCCAAGTGATACAGGAAATTTTGCCTGTGCTAACATTCATTGACCTCTCTCCTCTTTAAGCCCCTTCATACTTCACTTTATGTACTATCACCACCCCAACTCTGTACTTTACACAGTGGGGTGAAGTTCCAATAAGGATCTGCTGTATGTCAGTTGATGTAATTTAACTTGGTATTCTCCATCCCCTCAAAACAGAAAAAAACCAAAAACAACAACAAAAACAAAAAACAAAAAAATGGTAAGTACAAAAAATAGAGCAAATGGGAATAGGGGTTGGGTGGAGAGGAAAGAGTCATATGAAATTCACCTGCAAAGGCGATGGAGGGTCAGTTCACTGTCTGGCTAGAGACTCTGAACTTTTTTCAGAAGACAAGAAGACACTGAAGGATTTGGGCGACCAAGTGCCTTGAATGTATGAAGTGTTCTTACAGTTTTTACTGTTATCACTGCCTGGGTAATTTACTTTCTTTGTCCTTGCATGATCTGAGCCATAAACTTATAATGAAGATACCCTTTTATCAAAGGATTCCTCTACAGTATGGCCATTACTAAAAAGAAAATCTGGATCTCTGTCAAATGCAGACGAGTGGATGCCATGCCAATCCTTATCTCTGAAGACTGGACTATTCATTTAAAGATATGCCTAAAGTTTATTTTTTGACACTGGCCTCCTTGTTGTTCCTCGAACAAGACACTTCCTCTCCGGACTCCATGTATTTTTACTGGCTGCCATCATTCCTGGAATGCTCTTCCTCCTCTTCTTTGCCTCCTCCTGGGTTCCTTCAACTCCCAACTAAAAATCCTATTTTCTAAAGGAAGCCTTTCCCAATCTCTCTTATTTCTAGTGCCTTTCCTCCATCACTTATTTCCTATTTATCCAGTTTATAGCATGTTTATACATTCTTGTTTGCCTGTTTTCTCCTCCATTAGATTGTAAACTGCTAAGACACTGTCTTTTACCTTTCTTTGTATCCCCATCACTTAGCACTGACACACAGTAGGTGCTTAATAAAATTTTGGTGACTGACTGACATTACACAGTAGGTTGATTAGATAAGCAGAATTTTAGTGGCAGTTTTTTAAACCATTAATAGTGGCTTGGTATTGCCATGTAACCATTTCATAGTAGAATATTCCATTTTTTAATTAGAACATTTAACTTTTGTACTTTAAAATAATGTCTGTGACATAAGCAAATGTCTATTACTTGCTTCTACAATATACACTTATTAAGAGAAAAAAAGCATTCTCATTTGACAAGTACAGTCCACAACTTGGTGAGCCCTTGAAGTTTACAGACAGAAAAATCTCAAGCTGGTAATGCTCTGTCTGTATTATAGGACGGGGCAAAAAAAGTGTAATGGTTTCATTTCCTGCAAATCATTCCTGCTTGCAATCTGCAACTGTGTAACATTAGTTGGAGAAACTACAGAAAGACGTAATGCTCAATTGCAGCCCCAAGTAAGATGGTAGGCAATCAGCGGCTCATTTATCCGTGACACAAGTTTCTTAAATGCTGCTCCTTAAAAATTTATAGAAGCCCAAATATTGTAAGTACTGCCTTACTGAAATGGTGGAAGCCTTCTGTGGCTACAATTCCCAGCACTAGCTGTGGTGATACTTCATGCACTTCTAGCAAATACCATTTTTTCTAACGTCCAGTATCTTAGAATCCATAACAAAAAGATGCCTGGAAGTAGTCTCTCATCTTTAGACTTGTAGAAAGCAAGTGACTTTGTATGAAAATCTCACTGTAGAGTTCTTAACCAAGAGGATGAAAAAAATGGACCAGGTACTTTGAGAACTAACAAACAAATGATAAGAACTAGGACTTATATACAGCTTACTATGTGGTAGACACTAGGCTAAGTACTTTACAAATAATATCTTTTTTGACCTTCACCACAACCCCGGGAAGTAGGTGCTACTATTATCCATTTTACAGGAAACTGAGACAGACAACGGCTAAATGACTTGCTTAGGGTCACAAATAGTAAGTGACAGATATTGGATTGGAACTCAGGTCTTCTTGATTCAAGGACTGGTGCCCAATCCAGTATACCACTTAGTCACCAATGATGTTCCTAAGGTCAAACAGCTAGTATATGTCTGAGAGAGGATTTGAACCCAAGGCTTTCTGACATGCGAGTTTAGCACTCTACCCACCAAAATGGTTATTGTTCATTTTGCTTGTTGCCTTTCCCATGGGACAGGAATCTTCATTTACTCTGACTTCTACATGGCCTCTCCATGAACTGTTCCCTCACCCCAGCCATATCTGTTCATCTCCAGCTGGCCTATATTACCCTATCACAGTGTAGCCCACTTTTGCCAACTGCATCCCCATGCCTGGAAGACTCTCTCTCTACCTTCACCTCTGCAAATCCCCACCTTTCTTCAGAGGCAGTTAGGTGGCTCAGGAAGACTTGATTTCAAACCTGACCTTAGACACTGACTAGCTGTGTGACCCTGGCTAAGTTGGCCTCTCTCAGCCTCAGTTTCCCCAGCTATAAAGTGGAGATCATAATAGCACTTTCCTCCCAGGTCACTGAAAAAGATGAGGCCATAATAATATTGGAAGATTCTCTATACATGTTTCTTTTTAATGCAAAGACTAATATCTCAAACATACCTAATCCTCCTGGGGAAAGCAGATTGGTGTGAAGATAGATAATTGAGGACTCCTCTCACACTCTGATGTCTGGTGCTGACAGATGGGAACAATGCAGAAATACTATGCTATGTTACATCACTTCAGTCAGGCATTCATTCCCAGGTGTGTAGCCATAAATGGGGGTCTTGCTCAGGGAGAAAACAGCTTGTTGAGATTATTTCTAGAAGGCCATTCTTACCCTCAATTTGTGATGAATGTGCATAATGATTATAAGTAACTCCCTTTCCCCTTTTCTCAAGAAGTTACTTACTTCTACCACCCTCTAGTCTAATCAGAAGAAAGGTTTCAAAGAATTAAACAAGAATTTGTTGTGGGCCTAATATATACCAGATGCTGAGGATACAAAAACTCCTGCCCTCAAGGTTACATTCCACTAGTGGGAAATAACATATACACAGACAAGAAAATATTACAGATAGGTAGATATAGTTAATGTGATTGGGGGGGGCAGGCGGGGAGAAGCACTAATACCTGTGCAGAATTAGGAAAGATATCATGTAAGAGGTAGTGCTTGAGTGGGAAATTGAAAGAAATTATGGATTATAAGAGGTAGAAATGAGGAGGAAGAGTGGAGAATGGACTGAAATAGGGAAACATCTTTGGAAAGCAGACCCACACAGTAGGCTATAGTAATATCCAGGTGTGAAGGGATGAGGGCTTGCACAAGGGTGTTGCAGTGTCGGAAGAGAGGAGGGCACATATGCTAGAGATGCTACCAGCGTACAGCTGACAGGCCTTGACAACAGATTGGATGTAGGGGATGGAAGTGAGGAGTCAAAGATGATACCTAGGTAGCAAGCCCGGGGGACTGGGAGGATGGTGGTACCCTCAAAACTAAGATGGAAGTTTGGAAGAGGAGAGGGTTTGGGGAAAAAGATAATGGGTTCAGGTTTTAGATATGTCAAGTTTAAGATATTTACAAGACATAGTTTGAAATGTCTAATAGGTAGATGGAGATGCAAAACTGGAGGTCCCAAGAGAAATTAGGGATAGATATGAGAATCAACAGCACAGAGATGATAATTTAGCCCCTGAGAGCTGATGAGATTATTAAGTGAAATGGTAGAACGGAAGGCAAGAAAAAGGCATGGGACAAAGCCTTGTGGGAAATTCACAGTTAATGGGTGTAATGTGGATGATGATACAGCAAAAGAGACTGAGAAGGAGTGGTCAGATAGGAAGGAGGAGAACCAGGAGAAAGTAGAGTTCAAAAAACCTAGAGAAAGAAACAAGGAGAAGACAGTGATCTGCAGCATCAAAGGTTGCAGTAAGAGATCATCAGTATAAGTCTATAATAGACCATCAATACTTTTGAAACAGGGGTAGCGAGGTGGCTCACTGGGCCTGGAGTCAGGAAGACTCTTCTTCCTGAGTTCAAATCTAGCCTCAGACCCTTACCTCTTCCGTGACCCTGGGCAAGTCATTTAACCCTGTTTGTCTCAGTTTCTTCATCTGTAAAATGAACTGGAGAAGGAGATGGCAGCCACTCCAGTATCTTTGCCAAGAAAGCCCCAAATGGGGACATGAAGAGTCGGCCATGATTGAACAACAAAGAAAGTGAAGGCAAAAAGTATAAATAACTTGGTCTTTTTTAGAATTTAGCTGAGAAATGGAAGATAAAATAAAAGATGATAAGCATGAGGGAATAGCTATCTCAAGTGAAGAGTTTTTAAAGGATGGGAGAAATGTGGACACGTTTGTAGGCACAGGGAAGAAGCCAGTGGATAGAGTTTGAAGATTAGGAGAAAGGGAAGGATCAAAGAGTCAAGGTCAAGAAAATCAGAGAAGAAGGAATCAGGGCCTTAGTGAGGAGGAAGACTACTTAATTCTCAAAGACTGAAAGAAAGGAAGAGGAAGTCAAGGGAATTTCGCATGCAGAATTGGGAAGAAGAAAGGGCTCACAATGGATGGTCAAATGATACGAGGGTGGAAAGGAAGGAATTGTTTAAAAAATTTTCTCTCCATTCTTTTTAAGACACAAGGCTAGCAACCTTTTTGTTTCAAAGTGGAAGATAAAGACCAACATTTGCAGTTTCTTTTTATCTATATGAAAAAGTACAGTTTATAGGAAAACCAATAGGATATATTGCTTCTTAAATCCTCAATCATGCAAGTATTTATGCTAATTCTTTGAACTTCTAAAGTACAAACTTATAGAAGTACAAAAAGTCTCCACTCTTTTTAGTAAACCAAAGGAAAAAGTTAAAAGGCAGGGGTTTTTGACCTTTGCCTCCATTTATATACCTACCAAATCATCGGCAGTTACAGGCTGTCCTTTTTTGTCACTGGCCACCACCATTCTCCCCAGGCGGTTTTTCATATCTTCCAGGCCATCTGTTAGCGCCAAAACAGCCATGATCTCACTTGCAACAGCAATGTCAAACTGGGCCTGAGGTAGACAAAGCAAAAGAATTTATTAATCACAGAGGTGCTTTTCTAAGGTGTTCTTAAAAGAAAAAAGGTCTATACTGAGCTATAAGAATAAAAGTAAAGCATGTTTGCATTCTTTGCCTGTCCTCTTGTTCAGTGTCTCACTTATCCATTTAACAAATATTAATTAATCACTTACTTTGTCTTGGAAAAAACACTGCCAATGGTTCCCTTTCCTATTCATATGTTCTGCCTTTCCTCTTTAATGAGAGTATATTTGATGAAATGAGATTAGTATTTATAAAGCTCTCAGCACAGTGCCCAGCACACAGTAGGCACTATATAAATGCTCATTCTCTTCCCTATTTCCTTTGCATGTAGTTTATTAGTCAAGATGATTATATTTGCCTCCCAAGCAAAAAAGGTAAAGAACAGAGAGGGGGTAGGCATTTATGAAAACAAAACAAAAAAAGCCCAAACGCAAGATAGAGTACCATTTGTGAATTCAAATGAGAGAATGTTTCCAAAGCATTTAGCACAGTTCCTGGCACACAGCAAGTAATATATAAATGCTCATTCCCTTCCCTATTTCTTTTTTCCTTTGCACTTAATCTGCAGTCAAGAATATTGTATTTGCCTCCCTAGTAAAAAGTAAAGAACAGAGAAGAGGTAGAAATTCATCAAAACAACCTTCCCCATCCCCCACCACAACAAACAGAAGAACATTCGTGAATTCATTCCTTCTGATCCCAGAAATTTTGTGGAGACTGTTTTTTTTTTTCCTAGCTCATTGGATTTTCACATCTGTTTCCAAGACTATGGTCTTGATTAGGAAGTAATGGAAAAACCTTTTGGATTAGCTAGATTTCATTAGCTGAAAAATTTACCACAGAATTAATTAATTTTGCAGATTGCACAAAATCTCTAAACTTTTCAGTGCTTAAGACGAGATGAACAATTTTATTTCTAACAGCCCACATGATGTTCTCTCCTCTTATGACTGTGCTCCTAAAGCATGCCAGAAAGAAATGGAAGGATAATAAGAAATTCAAGGACATTGGGCAGACTTCTGAAGTCTCCTTTGATGGTTTAAACACTATAAACGTTCTTTTGGTCAAAAGCATTCAATTCAATGGGTATTTATTAAGTATCAATTATGAGAAAAGCTCTATGTTAGGTACTGGGGAAATAAAAGTGAAAATGAATAGTTCCACATCCTCTGGGAGTATTCTACTGATTATATGCTAACCCTATTCATCTTTTCCCCAATATCCAACCAAGGTGTGAGCCAAACCAACCATAAGCTGAAACTCTGAAAATTATACCCAAGAAAAATCATAGCAAAAAAAAGCAATATCATCCATTCTCTGCTTGAAGCAGGGAAAAACTGAGCACCTTTTTAGTTAATTCCTGTAAGGATTTCAGTGTGGATTTATTATTTTGGTCAAATTGTTGAATGCTGAACTTTCTCTGAAAATCATTCACACTTAAATATACCTACATAAGAAACGATTATAAATCTGAATTTTGGGCGGGGGTGGGGGTTGCATAGGATCATTCACCTTAAAAATTTTGATTATCAAATGAAGATTCCTTCTAAAATAATAAAAATTCAAAAATCAGTACCAAAGAACCAAAGGTCAAATCTAAACGAGTGATTTATTAAACCAAAGTTAAAAACAGTCATCATTTCCAAATTTCACTTTTAGTCGGTGACTTATTAACAGACCTTTTATTTCCATCAAAAGACTTCCACAGCTAGATACATTTTTCAAACAATACAAAGAATTAGAAATGGCTCTTGAATATGCTAATAAAAGTTAAAAAAAATTAGAATGCCACTGTATTTAGATGGAATATTGTTTTTAAATCAAGAAATTCCTTAAGTGCTATTAAGCTACAAAGGTAGCACATTAATTTTTCCATTTTCCATTTTTTTTTTAGTAATCTATAGACACACAGCTTTACATAGCTATTTGCTAACAAAACCATTAAGAATTAACATTCCAAGGAAAGATGGACCTGTCCTTTCCAAGAAAGACAACTGGATACACTTCCAAACTGGATGTCATGGGGACCTTCCCCCAAACCTGGCTGAATAGAATAGCAGGAGTGGTAATTAGCCAGTCATTGTGGGTGAAGAAAAAGGCAAAGTACTGACTCAGCTTAACCACTTCAAACCAGGGAAGAACTTTTCCCTTAGCTGTATATTTACCCACCTGACGAAAGAATCCTTTCTCTGTCTTAGCCTGCCCAATGGTTATTTTTCGTAGAAATCGATCATTTGTGTCCAAAACTGAAAGACAAGAGAAAAGATTAAAGTAGGGCTAACACACAAATTCTAGTTTTCTTTAATTTCTTTATCCATTAATGAATACTGAGTAATGCCCTGCTATATATTTTATACTGTATTAAATGACAGTAGAAACAATGATTCTCAGCAAACAAGCCAAAATGTCTTAAACCACAGAATTTATTTTACTGTAATTCAGACTTGTTCACACTTCTTTCTGTATATGTATCTTTAACTTTATTAATTAGAACACTCAATAAACATTTTTTAAGGACCAGTTACTATAAAGCAAGGCACTATGCTTGGAGTTTGGGGCCAGGGGCTGGGCACAAAAAGACATATACAGCACAGATTTCCCTCTGAAGGAGTTTACAATACAGTAGGAAGAAAAGCTAATTTCTTACCTATGGAAAAAGGGACCTGGATATAAAACCAGAAGGCATGCTAGCATACTGGAAAGAGAACTTTATTTGGAATCAAGAGACTTTATTGCTTACAAGCTGTGCGACCTCGGACAAGTCACAACTTCCTTGATTCTCTGATTCCTCACAAAATGGGGGAGTTAGACTGATCTCTGAGATGACTACCAGCTCTAAATCCTATAACACGAAATATAAAGGACAGGTCTAGGCATAAGGCCACGTTGAGGGGGAACTCAGAATTTCTGATTTAGAAGCCACCCCACAGGCCAGTTAGTTCAATCTATACTATAAAACGAAGTTCACTATAACATACTCAAGTGGTCACCCAATCCAGTGAAGGATGACTTTACTATTGGATAGCTCCAGCTATTAGGAAGTTTTTCCTTCAATCAAGCCCAAATTTGCTCATTTGCAATTTCTACCCATGGCTCCTAGTTTTACCATCTGGGGCTAAATATAATAAATCTTACCCTTCTTTCATAAGACAGCCTTTCAAATACTAAGAACTAATGTTCTTAGTCTTCCCCCTCCCCCTTGTCCCTCCTCCTTTTCTCCAGGGTAAATATATCCTGTTTGTTCAACTGACCTTTGTGGTTTGGATTTGAGGCTCTTTACCATGCTGGCTGCTTTTCATTTTATCAATGTTTTTCTTAAAATGTGATGCTAAAAGCTGTATAAAATGGGGTGGTGGGGAGGGAATGGTCCACTTCGGGAACGAAGCTATATAAAAGATGGATGGCAGAGGGGACAGAATGTAGACAAGAAGGATGGTTAGGAGGTTAAGACAACAGTCTAGCTAAGAAGGGATGAGGACCTGCCCTGGGTTAGTTGCCAAGGGAACTGAGAGGAAGGGACAGATGTGAGAAAGACAAGGGGGGCAGAACTGACAGAATTTAGAAGTTGACAGGATGTGTGGGATGAGGTAAGGGAAGGGCTCAGATTAGCAGCTTGGGACATTGGGAGGATAACTGTGCCATTAACAGAAATAGGGAAATTACAGTGAGAGATTTAAGGTGACAACGGTATTAAGGTAGCTTTGTAAAGGAAGCAGAAAACACCTAGAAACTGAAAATTTTCCTTCCTATTTTAACTTGTCCATCCCTCCTTGCCCTTTAACCAAGCAATGACTAAGCAATGTATATGATTTTAAGCCAGCCAAACTTGCAGACATGAAATCTCATGGAAAAAAAAATTAACAGAAAGGCAGGTAAAACTTATTGAAATTCTTATAGGCTGCTGCCATTTTTGCCTGAGACCTGTGGCAATTTGCATGGTTGCATTAAAATATGCCATCTGAAAAGATTACAATTTGGTTATAAAAAAGAAAAAAGAAAGGAGAGTTCTTTCTCAGATCCGTACTACACATAACCTTGGCATAAGAGTAAAGTTTTCTTTTTATCAAATCAAAGAAAGGAGAGTTCTTTCTCAGATTTGTACTACACATAACCTTGGCATAAGAGTGAAGTTTTCTTTTTATCAAATTTCCAAGAAAAAGCCAGCAACCAAAGTTCAGCTGTTTTTCATTTAACAAAGTTAAACAACAACAACAACAACAATAAAACATCTATACACACAAAAACCTCAGACAAGAAAGCAGCTGGAAAAATCTTTGGGAGTTGGTGGCATCAAAAGCCCATCTGCATCTTCAGGATGCCATCTGTACTGGAGGATTTCTTACAATTTACAATTTTATTGATGCTGAGGAAAAAAATGAGTGAAAGAGCCAGAGAGCAATAATCATAGGTCACATTTACATAGCAGTTTCAATAAATGAGAAAGTGACTCAAGAGATTTCTCTCAAGCCCAGTATGAAGACAGATAGTGGACGTAAAATTTCAAGTAAATGGTAAGTATTTCTGTAAACTCATCTAAGCTAAAAGGCTTCCAATCTTGGCTAACTCATGGAATTTAATCTCAAGGTGAAGGTTTGTCTGGTCATTTTTGTTGCCTAATATTCTTTGAGCCCTAACAAGACCACAACTATACCTAACACGATTTCTGCTCACTAGTCTCTCACAGCTGAAGTTACACGGAACATAGCACATAGTTACATGGCATATATATGTCTCTAGCTTTTAAATTTAGTTATTGACACTGCAACTGATCATTGCCAGTATTCATGTTCGGAAGCAGGATTGAGTGAGACTTGCTCATTCAAAGGCTGCTATTGTTGTCCTTCCTTCCCAGAGGACCAATGACATCAGGAGGATGATGTCTTGACTTGTAAATGAATTGGATTTAAGTGAGGCAGGGCTGTGCAAACTCTCTCCTCCAGAGTCTTTGTAGACCAGTGGCAAGAGACAGGTCAGGATGACTAGCTAAGGGCCAGGATGCAGTGGAAGACCTTGGCCTTTTTAAGCTAAGATCTTTCTTGGGTCTCGGTTTGTTTGAGGCAACACCCATTCAGTAGGGAAAAGCTAGGTAAGAATTGAGGCAAAAGATGGCCTAGTTTGATGTCACAAAAGAATCAATCTGGAAGGGGAAGACCCTCAGAGTTTCTGGCCAGAACAGAAGCAACTGGTATTTATACTCACTCTTAGCCATCAAAAACCAAACAATGAGTAAGTGAGGCTTGGGCTTGGGCCTATTATTGGCCAATCAGTGAGAGCCAGAGCGATTTGGGTTTAAAGGCATAGACAAGTAGCTCCATTTGAATCCCAATTGGCTTTAAATCAAAACCTGGTTTTTCAGAGCCATATTTTGAGAAATAATAAATGAAAACTACATGAGACAAAAGAGTTAATTGTCCCAGTTTAAAACAAAACAAAACAAAAACAATGATAGAATTAATAAGCAGGGAAGAAAAAAATGATAGCATAACAAACCAGCAAAAATTTACTAAGCACTCACTCATTACAGAACACTGATGTAGAAGATATGTTTGCTTGGGCAGATTCAAATTTGTTTCTCTAATAGAAGACACAGATCCACAAGAAGTACAGAGAGATCACTCCAAGGCTCTGGCTTACTCAATACCAGCATGTCTTGAGGCACAATTTCCAATCCAACTTCATCCCTTTCTAGTCTAGCTAACTAATCAGATTTTAAAAAAAAACCTAATCTTAATTATAAGGGCAAAGCCTATATTGGCTTTAGAGAGAAAAAAAAAAAGGTGATGTTCCAGGGTCATAGGTTTCACCTCCCACATCAATTAACACTACATAAGACCAAGATCTCGGGGTATACAATTCCAAATTCTTCTGACCGTGAGTGTTTTCATTAGCACTACAACTTTCCATACTTCAATGCCCTAGCAGTAATATGATTCTTGTATTTATTGGAATAACTTTCAAAAGTTGTCATGTCCTTTCATATTAATCCAAGGCCACAGAATACTTTGTCTCATTCTACCTTCTCAGAAAAAAATTAATTTGAGAATTGGCATCTGTCATAAGTCATCCCACGGAGAGTTTTTTTTTACATCAGGATCCAAGAATTGAGTTCACGGCTATATTTCTGAATCCTACTCTGAAATGAGATCACTCTAATTGCAGAAGACAGGAGGACACCAAACTTTGTATTCCACTTTTACCTGCTTCGTGTTTTTCTTTTTTTCCCCACAGGTAAATCTCAGTGGAGGTCTTTTAAAAAAATGAATCCTAAACCTAATTCACAAATTAGCTGCTATAAAATAGCTCAACTATTGAATTTTTGAGACAAAGTGTGTAGTGGTAGTCTGCCCTTAAGAATTTAAGAATGACTTTAGACAACTAGAAATTCTCTAAAAGAACAAAACAAAACGAAACAAATTCCTTGGGTTGATCAGATAAGAAACCTTTTAGCTGACTAGGTAGATGAGTTTACATAAATACTTCTTACTATTTACTTGGAATTTTCTTTCCACTATCTATCTCACACTGAGCTTGAGAAAAAAAAACAACTCTTGAGTCACTTTCTCATTTATTGAAACTGTTATGTAAATGTGACCTATGATTATTTCTCTCTGGTTCTTTCTTTTTTTCCCCTCAGCATCAATAAAATTGTGGGGGGGGGGGGAACACCTCTTAGAAGAATAAAATCCACAACAGATGCATACAAAGCTTCTCCTGGGCTGAGCACTTGGCAGGACACAAAGGCAAAGTTCTACCTTTTGATCTAGCAACAGAGGAGAGGTTTATCTACACTGATAAACATACAGACAAGGAAACAAAAATAAAGCAACTGGTATTACAGGAACAGAAGAATAGTTGCAAACAGTACAAAGTGGGGTGACAGGGAATAGATTTCAGGGGAGAGGTCATAGAATCAAAGGATCAGAGATTTAGAGCTGGAGGGTACCTGGAGGTACGGCAGCTAGGTGGTATAGTGGATAGAGTGCCAAGACTGAGGTCAGAAAGACTCATCTTCACTTATCCCTGTTTGCCTCAGTTTCCCCATCTGTAAAATGAGCTGGAGAAGGAAACAGCAAACCGCTTCCATGAAGAGCTGGACAGGACTAAACAATCTAGCCCAACACTCTCATCTTACAGGTAAGGAAGGGAGGCCCAGTGAAAAGAATGACCCATTCAAGGTAAAGAAAGGAAGGAAGGATAGACAGGAATAAGCATTCACTAGGCACCAATCTTATTAAGTGGCAAGGACTGTGCTAAGTGCCTTACAAATATTGTTACACTTGATCCTCATAACAGCCCTATGAGGTAGATGCTATTTTTTCCCCCATTTCACAGTTGAGAAAACTGAGGCAAAGGTTCCATGATGAAATAAAGGCTCAGGATCACATAGCTAGTAAGTGTCTAAAGCCAGATATGAACTCAGGTCTTCCTAACTCCAGGCCCAATACTGTATCTCCTGTGCCACTATATTAAGTGGCAGGGCCAGGATTCAAACCCAGGCCACTGGTCTTTCAAATCTAGCATACTTTCCACTAAATCAGGGATAGGGGACCTGTGGCCTCGAGTCCACATGTAGCCCTCTGGGTCCTCAAGTATGGCTCTCTGACTGAATTCAAACTTCACGGAACAAAACCCCCTTAATGAATGGATCTGTTCTGCAAAACTTGGACTCAGTCAAAAGGCGGCACCTGAGGACCACATATGTCCTCAAGGCCGCAGGTTCCCCACCATTACACTAAACCATATTGCTTTTCAAGGTCAGACTTCAGCTAACCTTGGAGGTATGGGTATAATTTTGATGGGTACCAAGGGGAATATATTTCTAGTTGAAAGAGCATCAGAGGTAAAAATAGGCTAGGAACATTTTAGAGACAGCGGATAGGACAGTTTGATTAGAGAGACTGTGTGCAGAGCAGTAGGTAGGAGATAAGGATACAAAAGAATATTGCAAACAAACTGAGAAAGGTCTTGAATCCCAGGCTTTGATATACAAAAGTGTGGACTTGATGCTGTAGGCAATGAGGAACTCTGAAAGACTTCTGGGTAGGGAAGTGATGAAACAAGAATAGAGCTTTTAGGAGGGTGAGCCTGACAGCAGTGTCCAGAAGGGACCAGAGGGGGGAGAGAGCAGCGGGAGGGCAATCACAGTACCTTGTGAGCTTAACAGAGAAAATGCAGGGCAGGAGAAATTTCAGGGTAGGAAGGTACAAGTGAGGTTGTCATAGAAGGAAACCACGATCTTCAGCCAACCCATTGAAGTCTGGGGAGCCATTTGTACTACCGGTGTTAATGCTTTGATATTGAGACTAACCCCCTGGAAATCTGTCACAGTTTCTGCATGTGCAATTGTTTGGGGACTAAGCTAAAGGCCCCTGGGGGGGGGTGTAGTTCACCTGGAGAAGAGGAGACTTTGTGGGAACAGGATAGTTGTTTTTCTACAGCTACATGAAGGGGCATCCTGCAGAAGAGGGATTAGATTTGTTCTGCTTGGCCCGAGGGGGCAGACTGTAGCTCCAAGAGGCAAATTTAGGTTTGATAGGAAAACTTTCCTAGAAACTGAAGCTATCCAAACTGGAATGAACCTCAGGTGTGAACTTCTCCTCACTTGAGATCTTAATTTTTTTATTTGTGTTTTTTGTTTTTATATAATCCCTATATAACTCTCCATGTCCACTGGACAAAGAGTTAAGCAAAGTGGCGACCACAGTCTGATAATGTAGGAGACTCTTCCACTCACAGAACCACACCTTCCGGAAAAAAAAAAATCACGGTACATGTTCTTGGTACTAGAAGTCTTCAAGCAAAGGTTAGACGACTGCTTGTTGAGGAAAGCACAGGAAGACTCCTTAGGTACTCGGTCTGGATAAGCTCTGCATTCTCTCCGGCTGTTGCTCCAGCACCTCCCTGGAGCATGGAGGTGGGTGAGCCCTTAAAAGCTCCAACAGTATAGCACAAGCTCTGGCAGGTACTAAGCCAAGCTGGAAAAGATTAGGTTACAAGGGGAGACCCTCTCCTAGGCTTCACAGTAGTCTGGCATGAAGTTCCTTTAGCCACAGCAACTCACGGGATTTCATTATTGAGGAGCAGAGAGGAGGATGGTCTATTGATAGAGTGAAAACCTTCTTCCTTGCCTGTAATTTACAATGGGTTTCAGTACTCCCAGGTATACCTGCCTGGTGATCCCCTTAGACTATTCTGTGTCAGAGAATTTATATTACCTTATTCTGAGTTACAGAATTTATATTACCTTAATTTAGAACTCTTCATACTTCTCTCTATATATTTAATTTAGTTAAATAGAACACTGAATATACATTCATTAATGACCAGTTACCATAAAGTAAAGCACTGTGCTAGGAGTTAAATTTTGTTTGGAAACTACTGCTTAGATGTGTTTAGCAAGTGATGTATGATTATGTATCCTTATCTTTGCAGTATATTGGGTTCCCCAAACCATATTTAATTAGGTTACTTACTGTATTACTTTTTTAAAAAAACCCCATAATTCTTTAATTCAAGCTTTGCATAAATTTGGGTGGGCATTCCTGTCACAAGAGGAGGCATTTAATAAATGCTCATTGATATATTGATTGAAGTCACTTAGCCTTGGTTTCTTCAGGTACAAAATGGGAATAATAATACTTTCCCTACATACTACAGAGAACTATGGTGAGGGAAGTGGTTTGTAGACCTTGAAAACATCATAAACGTGCTTACCTCTCTGCCACGTGATGGTAGATGGGTCAATGTCAAGCCGGGCAAATCTGGTCATTTCCTCTTCTGTCAGTGTGCTTGGATCAGTCTTATTTATTCCTAGTTTCTATAGAAAAGAAAAATAACACAATACAATGAAACTTATTCAAGTGCATGTCAGCTAGATAACTTTTCCTTTTAGTTTTAGATTTTGTCCCTGCAAATCTCTAAGTGTTACTTTACATGACCACTACGTTGAGGGGAGAGAAAAAAATTCTGGCAGCATAACTGACACTATTTCATCAGACTCTACATTCAACCCCAAACACTGCCATTTATAACCAATATTTCAAATAAAATCTGTGTCTATACTGTTTTCTAGGCAGTTTCCTTCTAATTTAGCAAAACACACATAACCTGCATATTCCCCCAGTGAAACATTACTTCCATAATGAGAAAAAGAATAGGGAAGGATAAAAGCCTGAAAGTTAATGTTAGGCAAAAGAAAACATAAATTATATGTAATATGAAGTGAAGAGCAATATTATACCAACCACTATTCCCCAATTAGTTGAATTATCTAGAGTCCTGTAGTGTAAGACACTTCCCATAGCTTTAATCATATTTCAAATGTGGGCAAGAGAGGGTAGTATAGTTATTGTGGTCAGAGGGCTAGGCCTGATGTCATAGGGTCTTGGGTTTGAGTACTTCCTCAGATGCTTACTAGCTTTGTGGTCCTAGGCAACCGGCCCTTGGTGATCCCTAAATCCTTTTCTATCTCTAAATCTGTGAACCATGGGCCTCTTAAAAATTCACATCCACCTGACAAGAGGCTGCTCAACCTATACTGACTGGGTCAGGAATGAATTCTTCCTTGTCTATCACTTACAGTGGGCTCCCGTCCTCCCAAGTCCCCCTCACCCTGTGAGGCCTCTTGACTAGTCTGTGTTCAGGGTTGGACTTTGGTACAGCATGTAAAAGACAAGTTAGGATATATTTACATGTTGATCCTGTTTACACTAGCAGCACACTATGTAACTACAGAGGTAGATTTTTTTTTAATTACACAATTACAGTTTGCAATTAGGGCAGTAAAGCTTTGACACCGTCCTTTGCTACCTAAGTGCTGCAAAATATGACAATCATAGTTAGACTTTCTCTCTGCTAGAGAATGAGGGCAAATCAAAGTGATAATTAATGTGTACCCAGACTACAGGACTCTGGAAACAATTAAAAAGCATTAGAAGGGAATTACTGCTAACCCTTCAAAGCTTAACTTAAGTGCCATCTTCTGCATGAAATTCTTTCCACATCTCTCAGATGGTGGTCCCATCCCTCCTCCCCACATTTTGCTGTTGTTCAGTTGTATCCAATCCTTCGTGTCTCTTGGTAAAGATACTGGAGTGGTTTGCCATCTCCTTCTCCAGCTCATTTTACAGATAAGGAAACCAAGGCAAACAGGGTTAAGTGACTCGCCCAAGGTCATACAACTAGTGAGTATCTGAAGTCAGACTACCCCCTTTTGGGATTTTATGAACAAATGTACTAGTGTGGTTTGCCATTTCCTTCTCCAGCTTAATTTACAGATGAGGAAACTGAAGCAAACAGGATAAAGTGACTTGCCCAGGGTCACATAGCTAGTATGTATCTGAGGCTAGATTTGAACTCAAAGCTTCTTGAATCTAGGCCCAGCACTCTATGTACCTTGCAACCTCGCTACCCTTGCATACCTACATGTTGCCACTTCCCAAACAGTATGAATGCTCTTTGAGATCAGTCAGAGATTATTTCGTTGTCTTGGTACCCTCAGAGCCTAGCACATGGCCTGGCTCATTTTACTGGCCTGTAATGATAATTTCATTCATATACAGGGAACTACTGATGAGCAAACTCTTGCAACCAAGTGTAGGTAGCATCTGCTCTTCAATTTGTAGTCTAGACTCTAGAGAATGTTCTCTGGGGTAATGAGGGTTAAGTGACTCATCCAGGGTCAGGCACAGCCAGTATATGAACTTGAATCCAAGGATTCCTGATTCTAGGACAGCTCTGCTACACACTACTCTGGTATGTAAGAGGCAATTAATAAACCATTATTGACTGATAGAATGATTTATTTGTATTTTTGTTGTTGTTTTGTTAATCAGTCCTATCTGACCCTTTGTGATCCCATTTGGGATTTTCTCAGCAAAGATACTAGAGTGGTTTGTGATTTCCCTCTCCAGCTCATTTTACAGATGAGGAAACTGAGACAAACAGGATTAAGTGACTTGCCCATGGCCACACAGCTAATAAGTGTCTGAGGCTGGATTTGAATTTAGGTCCTCCTGACCTCAGGCCCACATTCTATCCACTGCACCACCTCGCTGCCTAATTATATGCAGAGCAATGACTTTTCAGTATTTTTACACAGAAAACTGAGGACTACAAACTAAGATGGTAGCACTAATGAAAATCACAAAAATTCTTATCTTGACAGAAGGTCTGTTGACTTACTTTCTAAGAACTTCACAGTAGATATTAAATCCATCTTATCTCCAACTAAGTTTCTGAATACTGAGACCAAATCGGGGATAAAACAATTGCTAATGTGCTTTAAAAGGTTTTCATTTTATTTTTCTGCAATGTGTTCTCTACATTTCCCCCCAAAGAAACGCAAACTGGACACTTACTTTCAAGCGACTGAGCTGAATGCCTGAAAACTCTCTCACGCCATTCACTAATGGCACCAATCGATTAAACAGCGCCTGAGAACCGACCGAAACAACAAAATCAAGTTTAAGGGACATTTATAAACTATGCAGTATGATATACTTTGCTACCTGAGATTAAGTTGTTTAGGTCAGAATCCACTGAAATCCTTTGGCTTAACACAAACAAGATAAACTTTAATTCAATTTTTCAAGAAAATTCTGTTATATTTGAATATTACAATCAGTTTGTAAACATGACTTTTTTTTTTAATTTTGGTGAGGCAATCGGGGTTAACTGATTTGTCCGGGGTCACACAGCTAGTAAGTGTCAAGTGTCTGAAGCCAGATTTTGAACTCAGGTCCTCCTGACTCCAAGGCCAGAGCTCTATCCACTGCACCACCCAGCTGTCCCAGAAACACAACTTTTTAACAGAGATCCTAAAAGTTTTTAAAGTAACGTCTGTCCAGATATGGATTCTCTATTTCTCACAAACACCACACCAAGTCTTAAGTGATGGACACCGAAGATGCCAAAATCCATGCAGAAATGTTGAGAAAAACTGTCTTCCTATCTAAACTCTACCTTTACAAATAATTAATGGTGATATATTTACACATACCGAAATCTTCGTCTTGGACAGCTCTGAGATATTATTTATAAAGTGCTTAGCACAGTGCCTGGCACTTAGTAGGTGCTTAATAAGTACTTATTCCCTCCCCCTTCTCTTCCCATGCCCCCTGAGAATGTGTGATTTCTTAGAGCAGTACGATTTGCTCACATAGGACCTATCTAGAACACTATGCTACTCAATTGTACTCCCAATGTAGCATCACTGCTAAATTCATGAACTAAGTGGGTTGGCCTGTATTAGGGGAGGGGAAAAAAGGTTTGTTTGGTGTTTTTTTTTTGTTTTTAGTCTGGGCCTGTGATTTTATTGGTATAGGGAACTCCAAAGGTGGAATTCCTCTGCAATGGTACAGAACTACTTATAATCCAGAGAATTGTCTGGGATACTCAGAAATTAAATGACTTGCCCTCACATATCCAATGGGTACTACTTGACCTGCCAGGTCTTCCTCAGTACAAAGTCAGTTGTCTATTTATTATGCCACACTGGCTCTTTAGGAAAAATTGATGATGATGATGATGATGTGGAGGTGAAGGAAGTATAGAAGATAGCATCTATAAAGTGCTTTTATATGGGTTTATATAGGTTTGCAAAGCACTTTGCAAATATATCATTTGATCCTCAAACAGCAACTCTGGAAGGTATCATTAAACCCATTTTACAGTTGTAGAAACTGAAGCAGATAGAAGTGCAGTGACTTGCCCAGGGTCACACAATAAATATCTAAGGCTTGATTTGAATTCAGGTCTTTTTAATCCCAGATCTAGTGTTTTATCCACTGTATCACTTGGCTGCCCTAAATTACTGCATTGATTAGAGTAGCTAAGTCTTTCACAGTTACTATTTCTATCTAGCACAATATTTCTGTTACTGTGTATAATGTTCTCCTGATTCTGCTCACTTAACTCTGCATCAGTTCATGTAAGTCTTCCCAGGTTTTTCTAAAACTATTCCGCTCATCGTTTCTTATAGTACAATAGCATTCCAACACAATCATACAGCACAATTTGTTCAGATATTCCCCAGTTGATGGACACCTCCTCAATTTCTCTTAGGTAAAAGACAAAAAGCTCACAAAACCTTCAAAAAACCACTTTCCTCTAAAAAGATTCACAAACACCTAAACAAACAAATCTTTATCCTTTCAAGAAATGATTAAAGAACCAGATGGTAAGTGAAGATGAACACCAAGGGTCTTCCTCACCTTATGAGTCTGAGTACTTTCATGTAAAATCCGGGCATCGATAGCAGCAGCCAGCAAATTATTAGCAGCAGTAATGGCATGAATGTCACCAGTCAAGTGAAGATTGAACTATAAAAAAAATGAAAAAAATATTTTTCTGCTGTTCCAGACCATCAAATCTGTGTTCAAAGCATTTCTGTAATTATAATTTCTTAAAGCAGAATAAGCAAAATGAATCAAAGTTACAAAATTTTAAAAATAAATGTACAAATTATATTGTATGTATCAATGGATACATATATATGTATATATATACTATATATAATTAATATTTATATAACATGAAATATTTATAACATATAAATTTATGTGTTTATATATGTAATATTATACATATAAATTTATAAAAAGAAATAAATGCACCTCCCCCACATGAAAAAGGAGGTAAAAAGGAATTTTTAGGTGTACTTATCCTTCGGTTAAATTCGAATAGCCTCATGCTCCAAATAAGGGAATGATGACACACTAAAACACTGATACAAAACTTAGAAATTTTCTTTTTCTTATTTATTCTAAGTTGCCATACTTTTATTTTTTAAAAAAGGTTCTAAGGCAGTTTTACTGAGTTTGAAGTAAGTGATACCACAGCCTAAGTCACTTTCAGTTCATTGTTTTCTAATTCACTGTTAATTACCAAGGCCATTTTTATTTTTTTTTTAAATTATGCTTTATTTTAATATTCATTTTTAAATTTTTTGAGTTTCTAATTCTTTCCCTTCCTCCACACCCACCAAGAAGGCAAGAAATATACCACAACTTGTTCAGCCTTTCCCTGGTTGATGGACATCCCTCAATATCCAATGCCTTGTCACAACAAAAAGAGCTGCTATAAATATTTTTGTATATATAGGTCCTGTTCCTTTGATCTCTTTGCGATACATATCACCTAGTAGTGATAGTGCTGGATCACAGGGTATGTATGCACTGTTTTATAGCTGTTTGAGATAGTTCCAAATTGTTCTCCAGAATGGTTGGACCAGTTCACAATTCTACCAACAGTGCATTAATGTAGCTATTTTCCTATATCCCCTCCAGCGTTTGTCATTTTCCTTTTCGGTCATGTTAGCCAATCTGATAGGTGTGAGGCAATAACTCAGAACTGTTTTAATTTGCATTTCTCTTATCGATAATAATTTAGAGCATTTTTTCATGACTACTAATAGCTTTATATTTTTATTTTGGGGGACTCGAAATTATTTTTGGATGAGAGAGTAATTTATTTCCCAAAAGGCAGGAAAAAATACGCACTAATAATTTTGACAAAAGAGAGGAGTACAAGCAGAGCTTCTGCTGTTGTTCAGTTGTTTCTGTCCTGTCTGACTCTTCATGATCTCATTTGGGGTTTTCTTGGCAAAGATACTGGACTGGTTGGCCATTTTACAGAGGAAGAAGCTGAGGCAAAAAGGGTTAAGTGACTTGCCCTAGGTCACACAGTTTAATAAGTGTCTAAGGCCAGATCTGAACTCAGGAAGAGAAGAGTCTTCTGGACTCCAGGCCTGGCACTCTATCCACTGCACCACCTAGATGCCCCTGGGGTTATGAGGAAGGGGAAAAATGTTAAGGTACCAATACACAATGTGGTCTTCCTTTATGCTCTTACCTCTTCCATGGGGATGACCTGAGCATATCCACCACCTGCAGCTCCACCTGGGTAACACAACAATAAAATTTTCAGCAAATCCTATAATACCTAGCATATGATTATTATCAAAAACTATTTGCCACACTAATGAATGGAAGTGTACATGATGTTAAAGTAAGTTACAAATTTAACCAATATGGGGGAAGAGAAAGGAGGAAGCAAATAAATATTTATTACTATATGCCAGGCACCGTGCTAAGCACTTTATAAATATTACCTCATTTGTGAGGTAAGTGCTATTATTATCCCCATTTTACAGTTGAGGAAACTGAAGCAAATAGAGATTAAGTGACTTGCCCAGGGTCACATATAGTTTCTGAGGTCTGATTGAATTCGTTTTTTCCTGACTCCAGGTTCAGCATTTCATCCACTGTGTTACCTAGCCGCCTCTAAAGAGGCAAGAGATGAAGTGATCAAGGAATTCAGAAATCTACATTAAAACAAGGAAGGACAAGAAATGTTTATAGCCCATATAAGTGCAGTACTCAAATACGTTAACTATAATAGGCAAAAGAACCACATGAACAAAACATCTACAAGACAAATACCCCTGCAATATATTCTCTTATGAATTTCACAATTACATTTAAACTGCATACTGCCTGGAATTAAATATAGCATAGTATGAAATCTGTCACTTTTCATTATTATCAAGAAAAAAAGGCAACCATTTCTCAAGCAAAGAGAAAATGAGATGTTGCATGTATTTATAGGATAAAATACCTTTAACACCAAAAGTAGGTCCTTGTGAAGGCTGCCTCAGACAAGCAAAGGAATTAACATGCAGGTGTGCGGTCAGGGCTTGAACAAGCCCAACAGTGACTGTGCTTTTGCCTTCTCCCAGGGGCGTAGGGGTGATCCTTATAAAAAACAAACACAAACACTAAATTAACCCAAAGTGACCATACCCAGGTGGGATACAATGCTGGCAAAGGACACATCATTGCAGGTACTCATTTCCTGGACTCTGTTATGACTGCTGAAATTTGGCCTTCTAAGGATCAGTCTAACAAGGCCCTCTTTACTCATCACTTTTACAGTTTTTCAATGCAATCTAGCAACAAGTAACTGTCCCTAAGATGATGTTTATAAATAGGAGTTAAAAGCATTCTCAATTTAATGCATGAAATACTTTTTTCTCTTCCCAGACTTCATTATTCATTGAACCTGCCATAGACAGCCATGTTAAAATATGTATGTATTTATATTTGTGAGGTCTTTACCATTTACCCAACAATAGCAAACAAACCAACTGAAAGCTGCTGATCATTAAAACTTGCCCATACCACTCAGCTCTTCATAGATGAAATCAGGATATGGGTGAGTGTCCTCACACCAAGAGGATAAGTAATAAGCAGTAACACTGAGGAAATCATCAACTTCTCTTACTTCCCCAAGACAGAGAATTTAAAAATCCCTCAAAAGAGCTTAAGCATGCAACTTCCTCACTCACTGTTGACAGTAACTCTTGAATTCAACACATATTTATTGGTGACACAGTGTATGCCTTGGTGCTTCACGTGTAACTTGAAAAATATCTGTTGAGTGGATGAATGACAGGATGCAGAAGCAAAGGATAATAAATGCTAAAACACATGTCATACTAGAGCACTCCGACTGGTATATTCTATTAGTAACTTCTATTACCTATGGACCTCGGGGCCTGAGAAATAGAAAGGGGATAAGGACTCAGATGATTCCTGGGCTCCTGAGATACTGACCGATTAAATGAGATACTGTTATGTAAAGTATTAGTAAAATGTTAACGCACTATATAAATGTTAGTTACTGCTTATTATTACTATTGACAGAAAACATGGCAGAAATGATTCTGAAAGATTATTCACATTATTATATAGGATGACAAATGAAAAGTTCGAGAGACATAACTTCTGAGTAATAATTTTATAATTATGGCTAATGAATAATTAATAAAACGATGGTCATTTGGCCATATTTTGTAACCCAAAGTTACAGTTCATGGCGGCCTACTGATGCTTACACGTCCTTGGAAGAATGGGTGTTCTCAACAGACTACAACAAACTCTGATTGGTTAACAATTAATGAGAATGAGTATTATAATGAGAGGTAGGCCTATTCTAATGAGGAACTGAGGAATCTGACTTTGATTATGTGACTCTTACTCCCAGACCTCCCCCAGCCCTTAATCCAGACAAAGGAACCACTACCCATCCAAGCCTGGGCTTCCCTAGTACAGTGGGGTCTGACAAAATTTAAGAGAATGTTAAATTCAATCTCATTATCATCCGTATTCTTTTTTTTTTTTAAAGGCACTTAGGGTTAAGTGACTTGCCTAGGGTCACACAGCTAGTAAGTGTCACACCCTTATTCTTTAGGGATTAATTTGACCTAGTAGAGAATGAGAAAATAGGAAGGGAAAAAATCTTGGATCTCAATAGTAACTGGTTATTAATATGAGAGAAATAATCATTTCTCTCAATAGTTATTGCATATTTGTATCTATGCACCCCACCTTAAGGTCTGTAAGAGCCACTGGGGCTGGGATGGTGCCCTAATTATCTTAGCTGAATCAGTGAATGAATGAATAAACAACTCAGTGTAGGACAGTGTTCAGTGGACTTAGCAGGCACTTAATAAAATGGTGGCTTATAAATAACTGAAGATATAGTGAAACCAAGGTAATCGCAAAAAAGACTGGCAAGATAAAGTCATCATTAATACAAACTCTGAAGTACACAAAGCCCTGTTTTTTGCTAATGAGTAGATAACAAGGAATGGAAGAACCACTTCTTACAACTAACTCTTGCTAGATACTTGCTAGAAAGAAAGGTGATAGGTAAAGAAGAAAGCACTGCCAGATTGTGTTTAAGAGAAGACCATTTAAGCATCCATTGGAATGATAACATGAAGTCTAAGAATTTTAAACTGAATTCCAAACTTGTATCTGTAATGGGCAGACAGAGGAAAAGATTTTGGGAAACTGGCTGCCTACTGCGCTGCCTCTGGGTAAGCCCCATCATACTGATGAGCTAAAGACTCACAGACCACCATAGCAAACAGGCTTTCACCCCGGAGAACCCACTGGCAACAGTCACTTGGCCAATGAAACTATTTGAGTGCTCCTGAGAATTCTGAAGAATTTCAAAACTAAGGATGTTGACATAATATCCACATGCACATCTGTTTATGTGGCAAATTCTGGAATCATGTCAACACCTGCAACCAAAAGGATAATCGAAATCACAGTTCTTTTGTCTTCCTCACTGCCTGCCCTTCTAGGAATGACCCAAGGAGTTTTGAATTCCTCTTCATTCATAGCCTTCTTGCAAAAAAAATATGTAAAGGAAAAGATGGTGGAGTTTAAAATTCTTCAGAATTCATATTTGTGAGGACTTTTATTTTCTGCAAATGGAATGTGTGCTTTATTTCGGCTATGTGGCATTAAGCGTTACATTTTTCATTCCCAAGGAAATATTAGTATACTTGCCTAAGGAAGCCAAAAAGAGACACGCCTAGTTAGTGACCTCCTCAAAACTTGGACTAAAAAAGACAATTCTTAATTAGAAACATATTACTTCCCAGGTTTTTTGGGGCCATTTTTTGGCCATTGTTATTACAACTCAGCAAAAGTATGAAAGTAGCAAAAACAAAAATGTCTTGTATTAAGCGAAATAATGAATGATGTTAAAAGGAAATATAATTAAGAATATTCATCTGTTCATTCTTTACATGAATATTTAGTATCAAAATCTGGTTTGATTTTTTACAAATTAGGAGTTTATATTTAATCCTTTCACCCTTAGTTTAGTTATAAACTAGGTTATTATAAAACATTACATAAAATATTACATAAAATAATGATAAATATTATTAAATAGTACAAACCAGGTTAATTAACTAAGGAACTCTTGATTATGCTAGCTCAAGGTCTATGCTGTTGTGATGCCTCATTGCGACCTCAGATTCTAAAAAGCTATATATCCTGGTTGGTCCTATCACTCTAGAGAGCCTTTGAGAATGTGACTGGTGATAAGACTGTGTCTGTTGTCCAAGAAGCAGCCTCGCTTTCAGAACTCCCCATCAGATTGGCTACACGCTGATAATATTTTTTCAGCCATAATACTTTTCAAAGTTCATTTATTAAGTTATGAAGTGGCTCTTGTGGGCATGGAGAAAATGCCCATACTGATAAAATTATAAGTCCCTAAAGCACAGAAGAAAGTCTAACTTTAAAGTATCATGGGATCACAGATTTAGAGCTGGAAGACCCTTAATTCAACTCTTTCACTTTATAGATGAGGAAACTGAGGTTTAGAGAATTTAAAGTACTTGCCCAGGTTCACACAGCTACTAAATGGCAAGAAAGGGTTTATTTAAAAGCTATCTAAGGGGTAGCTAAGGGGGTACAGTGGATAGAGCACTGGCCCTGGAGTCAGGGAGGACCTGAGTTCAAATGTGACCTCAGGCCTCAGACACTTACTAGCTTTGTGACCCTGGGCAAGTCACTTAACCCTAATGCCTTGCCAATCAATCAATCAATCAATCAATCAATCAATACTAATTTAGGGCATCAGCTTTCATTTCCTGGTTAGTTCCTAAGATTGCAACAATGTCTTACTTCGAACAACATTAAAACCACAGTTATCATACTCTAATTTGGAATTAACATAATTCCTAGACTCAATTTAACTTTAGAAAGAAAGAAAACAGGGTTCTGCTCAAATTAATGTGTAAGACAGAGGGGAAAGAAGATACTGAACTTACAAAATATTTTAAAGTATTTAAAAACAAGCAGGATGTTAATTACAAAGTATTCTTAACAATTCATTAAAGCAGATCCCCAATAACCTTTTTCTAATACTTTGTTCAAATGGTGCACAGTCACTGTCTATACAAATACACCCTAAAAATTGCTATTATCAGTCTTTTTACTAATCCTGTTGGTATAAGTTAGTTTTTTTTTCCCCAAGAAACACCTAAAACAAAAAATTAGGGTAGTTTTGCTAACCCTTCAAACAAAGTACTGAGAGTCACATTTATCTGATAACTTATTCAGAGAATTCTTGCTACATACTTTTTAAAAGGCCTAATAAAAGTTCAAACTGACTGCCTAAATTAATTACAAATTTTAAATTATTTTATATTATACTCAACTTGACTCAAGCCAGAGGTGATCCTTCCCAGGCAATCCCCTATTAAATCACAGACACTCAGAAAGAAAGGAAATTTTCTTTTAGGATGAAGTGTCTATTATTCATCAACAGGCACTCTTACAAGAACTGGTCTTCAAGGAAGAAAACCAAACACCTGTACTGTCTCCATACAAGCCCCTAGGATTCAGTGTCCTTCATATTTGCATTTCTTTTATAACACTCAGAAGTTCAATTTAAGTATAAAAAGTTCAAGGATCTCTGGGAGTAGGTCTATTATCCAAACACAGCTGTTGTATTCTGCAGACAATCGAAAGCCAAGTGACCTGACAGAAATAAAGCCCCACAGAAACAGCTGCAAAGAAAGCTCTCAGGGCAGTTTCAGAATAAACAACAAAACAAATGACTAAAAAATGAAAAGTTTGGTCAAATCAATTATTTGGCAGCAATTTAAGAGGGAAAAAAGAATGAGGGTTTAATTATCTAACTGGGGGAAAAAACCCCACTGACTGGTGTTAAAACAAAATAAAGCAAAAACTTAAGCAGCTAGGTGGCAAAGTGGACGAAGCACCGGGCATGGAATTAGGAAGACCTGAGTTCAAATTCTGCTTCGCTTCACACACTTACTCGCTGTGTGACCTTGACCTTAATTTCTCTGCCTCAGTTTCCCCATAGGTAAAACAGGAATAATATCAATCTCCAGCGTTGTTGTGAGAAAAAAAAAGTG